AAACTGCATAGGGCCGTGGCGAGCGCACCGTGCGCCGCCGACGGCGTTAGGCCGTCTCTGGACCGATTCATCTTTTCCCTCGGCAACTCAAGACCAATTAAACATGAAACATTATTCTGAGGCTATCAAGATATAAATCACACGGACAATCTTGACCATAACCGAAGCTAACCTAGCATGACTTGGGCGGCCCGTGGCCATGCGCGATGAGCGCTGGCGACGGCTTTGAGCCATTTCATGACTGAAACAATATTTTGCCTCGACCATCATCAAGTAATCTGAGTATAAAATGATGTAAACTGATCAATTAAATGTGAACTGTTCATGACTTGCCGAATAAAACGAGAAGTTACTCGATCACGACTTAACTAGGCATAACCGAACTTTAACATGGCATAGCTATAAACTCTTGAACATGAATCGAACACTACTAGCTTAAATGAAATTATTGACATGAAAACGAGTTGAGGACGGCTTTACCTCCTCAAGTGTTCGACGGAATTCGCAAACCGATCGTGACCTCGCGTGCGCGTGTCCGTGTGCGGTAGCTTGCCGTGCGATGCTTTGCCGTGTGGATGCTGCTACTTGCCGTGCGTGAGGAATGAACTAACTAAGGCAATTTGCTTGGCTAGATATTGCTGAACTTAGTGTCTTGAAGGATACTAATATAAGGCTGCATATATTATGTGAAGAGATGGGAAAATTAAGGCAAATTGCTTGAATTTTTTTACTTGCTGAACTTGATATGATTTAGAGGGGAACTATAAGGCCGAAAAGGGTGAAGAAAAAATTAGCCTAAGTCCCCTTTTTATAGCCACGGCTTGGAAGCAATTTGGAGGATGATGATGAGGGTTAAACGTGGCCATTACTTAGGCTTGACATTTGCAATGACATGAGTAAGGTTTAGGGTGACTAATCACCCATTTAACCCCTCATAATGCCACGTTTTAGGCTTGAAAACTAGAAAGAAAAACTTACCTTAAGTTTAGGAAAATGCCTTATAAATTTGGGAAATTATGATATAAAAATCCTTTCCAACATTCGTACGCCTTTTTGTGCCATTAATGTGTGATTAATGTTAATTAATCACTAACTTATGTTTAATTATTTAATTAAATATAATGCTTAATTACCAAAATTATTCCGAACGTAAACGGTACGTCGAAAATAATTTTCGGTAATCTCGACTAAAAATAATTAATTCCAAAAATAATAATCGATAACATTATTATATCGGAACTAAAACATAATTTATACTGATAAAATAACGGGATATTACAATCCTCCCTCCTTAAAAATTTCCGTCCTCGGAAATTCAAAACATCATTGATACATGAACTATGTACATGGAACATAAAATATGTACATCAAAACTGAAAATCTGGGAAACGAGCGCGAATATCGGACTCCGCCTCCCAAGTAGCTCCGTGGCTATCCCACTAAATACGCATGAGGGGAACATCTCGCTTCCGGAGCCGATGAACCTGACGGTCTAGTACAGCTACAGGTCGCTCCTCGTACGATAGATCTAGCCGAACTTGAATATCTTAATGAGGAATGACATGATCGGGGTCGCACACGTATTTATGCAACATAGATGCCTGAAAAATATTATGAATTCCTGATAACTCGGGAGGTAGGGCTAATCGATACGCGACCTCGCCTACTCGCTCGAGAACCTCGAACGGACCGATGAATCGAGGGTGCAGCTTCCCTCTCTTTCCGAATCGAACGACTCCGCGAATCGGACGAACTTTGAGAAAAGCTGGCTCGCTAACCTCGAACTGAATGTCTCGTCGATGATGATCGGCGGAAGATTTCTGTCGATTCTGAGCTGTCCTGAGTCTCTGCCGGATCAACTCGACCTGCTCTGCTATCTCCTCGATCAACTTAGGATCGAGAACTTGTCGCTCTCCGACGTCGTCCCAATAAAGAGGGGAACGACACTTGCGACCGTAAAGTGCCTCGTAAGGAGCCATCTGAATGGAAGCATGATAGCTGTTGTTATACGCGAACTCGGCGTACGGCAACAACGACTCCCACTTAGCACCCCTGTCAACAACCAAAGCGCGAAGCATATCCTCAAGCGTCTGAATGGTCTGCCCGGACTGACCATCTGTCTCCGGATGGTAGGCTGAACTGAACTCTAACTTCGTGCCCATCGCCTCATGTAAACTGTGCCAGAATCGACTGACGAATCTGGGATCTCTGTCAGATACGATCGTAACGGGCACTCCGTGGAGTCGGATGATCCCACGGGTATATATCTCAGCCAACTTGTCCAGAGATATCTTTATCGAAACGGGTAAGAAATGCGCGACCTTAGTCAATCTGTCGACCACGACCCAGATAGCGTCGTGATGTTCAGACGACCTTGGTAATCCCGTAACGAAATCCATCGTGACTTCCTGCCACTTCCACCTCGGAATCGGCAGTGGCTGCAGGAGACCGATCAGACTCTGATGTTCGGCTTTGGCTTGCTGACAGGTAAGACACCTCCTAACAAACTCGGCGACGTCCTTCTTCATGCCTCGCCACCATAACGACCCTTTCAGGTCATGATACATCTTCGTGCTCCCGGGATGGGCCAGATAGGGTGCGGTATGAGCTTCTGATAAAATCTCCTTCCGCAACGCCTCGACCTTCGGGACCACGATCCTGCCTCTGAACTCTAAGGCACCATCGGCACCTAACTGAAAATCCTCGACGCCTCCGGCGCGAACCTTGGCCTCCATGACGCGAATGAACTCGTCAAAAGCCTGCTCTTGCCGGATTCTCTCTCTCAGCATAGGCTGAAGCTGCATGGCACTGACACTGGCACTGGTACTCCCCGAAACGGCTATGGGAAGTGCATCGATCGCCTGAAGCTGCATCCGGGCAAACTCCTGAATCAACTGACTCTGTTGAGTAATGACGTACGTCAAGTCACCCCTCACCTTTCGGCTTAGGGCATCTGCGACAACGTTCACCTTTCCCGAATGATACTGAATAGAGCAGTCGTAATCCTTGACGAGCTCTAACCAACGGCGCTGTCTGATGTTGATCTCCTTTTGCGTGAAGATGTACTGCAGGCTCTTATGATCTGTGAAAATCTCGCAACGCCCGCCGTAAAGATAATGTCGCCAGATCTTCAGAGCATGAACAACGACGGCTAACTCCAAGTCGTGCGTTGGATAGTTCTGCTCATGAGGTTTAAGTTGACGTGAAGCATACACAACGACCTGGCCATCCTGCATAAGGACACATCCCAAGCCCTGTCTCGAAGCATCGCTGAAGATATTGAAACTCCGAGAAGGATCGGGAATAGTCAACACCGGTGCTGAAGTTAATCTCCTCTAGAGCTCTTGAAAGCTCGACTCACATCGGTCAGTCCACTCGAACTTCACAGACTTCCTCGTCAGCTGGGATAGAGGGAGGGCGATCTTGGAAAAGCCCTCGATGAATCTGCCATTTTTTTGCCACCTCGGAGGCCCAGGAATTTTGCAAACAACTTTTCTCGTCTGAGGGTTCGAGAACCACCCTCAGATGCTCCTAGTGCTCCTTCTGGCTCTTCGAGAAGATAAGAATATCGTCAATAAAGACAATAACAAACTGATCGAGGTAGGGATGGAAAATACGGTTCATGAGGTCCATGAAAACAGCTGGAGCATTGCTGAGGCCGAATGGCATGACGACGAACTCATAATGGCCGTAACGAGTACTGAAAGCGGTCTTAGCGATATCTGATTCCTTAATCTTCAGCTGGTGGTAGCCTGATCGTAAATCAATCTTCGAGAACACACAGGCTCCCCTCAGCTGATCAAATAAATCGTCGATCCTGGGAAGCGGGTACTTGTTCTTGATCGTCAACCGGTTAAGATCCCGGTAGTCGATACACATACGCATGGAACCGTCCTTCTTCTTAACAAAGAGAACGGGTGCTCCCCAAGGTGACATGCTCGGCCGGATGAAACCGAGTCGTAACAGCTCCTGAATCTGCGCCTTAAGCTCCTGCAACTCCTTTGGCGCCATACGGTACGGGACTTTGGATACTGGACTGGCCCCTGGAATAAGATCGATAGAGAACTCCACCTGCCGGTTATGCGGTCCTCCTGGAAGCTCATCTGGGAACACGTCCACAAACTCACGAACAACCGGAACGTCGTGAGGTGAGCGTGCTTTCTGAGAATCGTTGACAAGGCTCACCAGATAACACTGGCAGTTGCCTCGTCGCAGTAACTTAGTGGCTTTCGCCATCGAAACAACATGAGGCAATGAACGATTCCTGGAGCTAAAGAAAGTGATCGACTCGTCTCCTGGAAGATAGAGCGTAATATCCCGGTCGTGACATCTGATGTCCGCATGATAAAAGGATAGCCAATCCATTCCGAGAATAAGGTCGAAGTCCCTCATTTCTAGAACAAACGCGTCGGTAGACAATACTCAGCCACCGATGGAAAGGCTAAGATCTAAAGCTTTAGCTGAAGTAACTATCTTTCGTCCCGAGGCTAAACTCACCTCGAGAGGATCGACAGCGGTAACGGCATGAACTCCGATGGCATCAAGACATCGTCGTGATATGAATAAATGCGTTGCTCCAGTATCAAACAAAGCGAAAACAGGAATATCATTAAGCACAACCATCCCTGACATAGTACCTGGCTGCTGTGCTGCCTCTGCCTGATCAACCGCGTAAACTCGGGCCTGCTGTCTGCCCCTCTGCTGCTGCTGCTGAGGCGGCCTCTGCGCCTGCTGACGTGGCTGCTGCTGCTGTGGTGGCTGCGGAGGCTGCTGAGGCTGCTGCTGAAGTCTCTTCGGACAGCGACTCGCAAAATGTCCAGGCTCGTGGCAGTAATAGCAAATGTCCTGACCCATAAGGCACTCTCCTCGATAAAGTCGTCCGCAAGTCGGGCACGGTGGAACCTGCTGCTATCTCTGTCGGGTCCATTTATTAGTCTGTGCGCCCTTCCCCTTCCTCTTCTTCTCCTTCGTTGGCTGAGCAGCTGGTAGGGCTGGTGGAGCTGCGAATGGCTGAACTGGGGCGGATGGCTGGGCACGATCACGGACGGTCTCCCTCCTGATGCTAGCGTCCACCTCTTGGGCGATAGAAACTGCACGAGCGTAGGTCTGTGTCCCGTGTCCCACAATGTTTTGACGAACTGCTGGGTAAAGCCCGTCGATGAACCGCTGTGCTCTCTGGGCCTCCGTGCGAACCAGGTCCGGAACGAAAGCTGCAAGTCTCGTAAACTTTCGCTCGTACTCATCAACGGTATGAGTGCCCTGCTGGAGCGCTAAGAACTGACGCTCCATCTCTGCCCGATAATAAGAGGGGTAGTACTTTTCGCGGACTAGCTCATTGAGCATATCCCACATACATCCCGCTTTCTCACCGGGATGCATGCTCCAGTAGGCATTCCACCAGAGCCTAGCATCACCAGTGAGCTGAAGCTGAGCGCAGATTACGCGATATCTATCGGGGCAGTCCATGACCTCAAAGATAAACTCCAGGCCCTGAATCCATTCATCTACAATGCGGGGATCTCCCTGCCCTGAGAACTTTTCAGCGTGATAGTCGCGGAACTGTGCGACTACAGTAGCCTGAGTAGGAGCCGGATGATCGGGTTCCCTACGTGGCGGCATCTGAACATTGAGAAAGTTTAACATTATTGAATACGTGATAACATTCTGACTGATTACTAAAACACACAGATCTCTTGACGAGTTGCCAAAAATGGCCGATAATTACTGACATGAATCCTGAGGAACTCTAGAGTCATATCAGAAGATACTAATTTCTAGAGTCATATCTGAATGCCCTGAATTCTAGAGTCATATTCGAACTCTAAAGTCTGAACCTGATTCGAGCATCTTAACTAAAGTCCTGATCCATAATTCTGAGCATAGTTTATAACTGAAAACATAAATCAACACTTACCTGTAGTCGGCGGGGCGTGAGCATGACGGTTCAGGTTGTTTTGAAAATTACTGACTGAAAAACTTTTCAGAGACGCAAAAACGTGCTCTGATACCAATTGTAACACCCCGCCTTATCGTAAAATAAGAGTGCGAAAATTTCACAAAGTCTTTTAAAAATAACTCTTTTACTTTGCGAAAACTGATTCGGGGTGCTACCTTAAAACGTGACTTATTTTGGAAAAACAGTTATCTGAATTTTTTAATAAAATCATACGATTACTGAAAACATAATTTTTCCAAAAGTCCGGTCAAAACATAAGTTCATCAAAACCATCATCAGCGGAAACGTAAATCGACATAATATATATACACAATCAAAACATAAAAGTCCCGAAGCCTCCGTCATCTCACGCTCTCGGCCCGACGTCCTGACCTGAAAAACATGATAACAGTGGGAAATGAGCACTATGGCACTGTGCTCCGTGGAAACTCATACTATTGTAAACATTGAAAATAATAACAACATCATGATCTTGGCATATACATAACCTCAACATGAAACCGGTAATAACATGAACATGAATCTGATATCGTCACGCCAACGTGACCCTGACCGTTACCTCATCTGCCGGCAAGGACTAATGTCGGACACCATGTGCACACTCTAGTGGGCAGACTAGGGCCACTAGAACCCAGAATGGACTGGCGACCATTCCGAGCAGATACATGACATGAAATACATACCTCAAACATAGTACCGTAATTATAATCAATGTAGTACTTAGTCTGAGACCCCACCTGATCCGTGAAAATAAAGGCAGTGCTGATACTTGAGACCTGATCAAACTGAAATATAATATAAACAATTACTAATGACTATGCCCAGACTGTTAACTTAACTGATTAATTTTTGTTAAGATACTCTACTGAACCTGACATGATATTTAGACTTAACCGGAATAACCGGAGTTGAACTGACATGAACTGATCGGACATGAACTTACTGAACTGAAATTATACCGGAATATTAACTGAAAATACCATTAAAATCATGAACCGGGCTGAAACCATGATGTACGGACCGAAACGTTAAAAAAATAGGTCTGAACCGGTCCAGCCGGTCTGAACCGGTCTGGACCGGACTGCCAGTACCGGCTGAACCGGGCAGTCGGTGTTGGCTCGGCCAGCAGCCTGCCGAGCTACGCACACTGGCGCTCTGGCCGCGGTGCTGGCTGGTCGGCCCTGGCCTGAACTGTGCACGCTGGGTGCTGTGGCGTGCCACTGGACGCATAACTGGATCGCAGGCGTGCACTGGGCGACGCTGCGTGCATCGGGATTGGCAGGCGT